TGTGGTGTGAGAGTTGGGGCTACTCCGCTCCTCACCCAGGAGTACCTAAAGAACTGCCCTAGCCCCTGGTATATCCCTCAGGAAAGGAAAGCAGGGCAAGGTGTGGGGGGGTGCGGCACACTGTCCTTGAGAGGGGCTGGGCTCCCAAGGGAAAGCAGGACAACAATCACAGAAGACTCCTGGCAGGGTTGCAGGGCTTGGACCAAGGTTCTGGTCAAAGACAGAAATTCAGACAACAAGGGGAAGAGCCCCTCTATGCTCCCTACGTAACATCTGACCTTCTCCCACCCTTATCACAGATGTGTGCTCCAAGAGAATGTGCGCATATAGCACAGCGCCTGGAACACATCAGGCCTCAGTATCTGCCAACTATGTGGGTGTCAGGCAGAGGAAGAGAAGCACATGGGGCAGAAGAGAGCCAGGAGGGCTGCAAGGGAACCCAGGGAGGCCGACATCAAGGACAGCAAGCCACAATGAAAAACTCCCCCTCCCCCTGGGGGTGGGGTCCCTCAGGAACAAGGGGAGGAGCTATCTCAACTGTGTAAACTCTGATACCCACAGTGGGCACCACCTGGCCTAAAGATACTGAAGCACTTTGCCAGCTATAGCCCAGACAGGCTCTAGAATAGATGGCCCAGCTCAGAGACCAGCCAGCATCTTCCTCACCACCAGCAGGGTTTGGCACACACTAAGGCCTCAATACATATTTGAAGAATACATGAATGAACCTCTTTGCTCTGGTTTGCTCGTGATTTAAGTGTGTCCCCCCCCACACACACACACAAAGATATAGAAATGTGGTCCCTAACGTGGCTACATCATGAGGTGATGGGACTTCTAAGAGGGACTTTGTGCGAGGTGGTAGCTCATGGAGACCTGCCCGGGGAAGCAACTGATGCTGATCTCACTGGACTGAGTTAGTTTTCATAACAATGGGTCACCCTGCACTTGGCTCCTTCTCCATTGACCATTTCCTTTTCTGTTTCTCTGTCACATTTTTTTTTATGCCTATACTGGGGCCTGGACACTGTCCCTTAGCTTTTTTGCTCAAGGCTGGCACTCTAGCATTTGAGCCACAGCTCCACTTCTGGCTTTTTTTTGGGGGGGGAGCATTGGGGAAAAGTCTTGGGGCTTGAACTCAGGACCTAGGTACTGAGCTTCCCCCCCCCCTTTAAGGCTAGCTCTTTACCATTTGAGCCACAGCTCTACTTTTAGCTTTTTTGTGGTTAATTGGAGATAAGAAACTTATGGACTTTCCTGCTCAGGCTGGCTTCACACCACAATCCTCACATCTCAACCTCCTGAGGATTAAAAGCTTGAGCCATTGGTGCCCAGGTCCACTTCTGGATTTTGCTGGTTAATTGGAAATAAGAGTCTCACAGACTTCCCTGCCTGGGCTGGCTTGGAATTGTGATCCTCAGATCTCAGCCTCCTGAGTAGTTTAGGATTACAGGCATGAGCCACAGGTACCCAGCCTCTCCAGCTCATTTTTCTGTAGATAGGAGGGGGCGCTTCCCAGGACACCATGTTATTTGGACACTGGCTACCAGGTGAGCCAGCTACCCCCCCCCTTTTTCTTAAAATAAAGTATCCAGCTTCTAGTATAGAACAACAATAACAAATGGACCAATATACTCTTCAAGTCCCAGTTTCCAAAGGGAGTAAGAGTAACATTTTGCTGTGGAGACTCACTGAAATACTTCATGAATATGCATTGTACAAGGCATGTGTATGGTAATCTGTCCAATACCAACAATCAGTAAAATTTCATAACTGTTCTGTAAGTGCTTTCACAGATAGGGCTTCTTTCTTGCTCCTAGTGAAGCTTCTCGTCACCCCCACAACCAGCGCCCAGCCCCCCACCACTCCTGCCCCCACCCCACTTCCCCTGCCTCCAGATGCTGTTCTGCAGCTCCCCTGGGCATCCAGCCACAAAACTGCAATGCTATGTTGCTCTTCTCATTCTGAAATGACTTTGAAGGGTTTGCTCTTTCCCCCACTATGACGATAAACTTTTTTTTTCAAAGTGAGTCAAATCAAAAACATATGACTGAAAAAAAATCACTAAGGGCACACACACACAGAAAGGCAAGCAGACCCCTCTCCCAGTCTTTCTGTGGGGCAAAACGTATGTCCTTGAAGACTAAGATGCAGCTTCAACATGAAGTATGCAGTGGAAGAGTGACACTGATCAGACGCACTGTACTCACAAAATGAAACCCCTTTATAACTATGAAGGGTTTTTTTTATTGTGAAAACACCATACAGAGGGGTTAGTTACATGAGCAAGGTAATGAGTACATTTCTTATCAAGCATTGTTGCCTCCTCCTTTGTTTCCCCCTACTGATCCTTCCCATCTCTCCCTCCACCCCACCCCCCCACCATGAAGGATTTTTTTTAACTTATTTTTATTTTTTTGTCAGTCATGGGGCTTGAACTCTGGGCTTGGGCGCTGTCCATCGGCTCTTCAGCTGAAGGAGAGCACTCTACCACTTGAGCTACAGCGCCACTTCTGGTTTTCTGGTGGTTTATTGGATAGGAGTCTCACGGTCTTTCCTGCCTGGACTGGCTTTGAACCGTGATCCTCAGATCTCAGCCTCCTGAGTAGTAAGATTATAGGCGTGAGCCACCAGCGCCCGGCAGGATTTTTTAAGAGAGGAAAATAAAATAAAATAAAATGGATTTTTGTTTTGTTTTGTTTTGTTTTGGGGTCCAGTCATGGGGCCTGAACCCTGGGCCTGGGCGCTGTCCCTCAGCTCTTCAGCTCAAGGCTAGCACTCTATCACTTTGAGCCCCACTTCTGGCTTTTTTTCTTTTTGCTTATGTGGTGCTGAGGAATCGAACCCAGGGCCTCAGGCATGCAAGGCAAGCACTCTACCACTGAGCCTCCTTCCCAGCCCCTGGATTTTTTTTTTTTTTTAGTGCAAAACATATGATAGGAAGGGCCATCAGGAAATAACCAAAAGAGCTGTGCAAGATGGAAAGCATCTCCTGAACCTGCTGTGGGGGTAGAGTCAGGTGTCCAGAGGACAGAATCTATCTAGCTGTAAGCATAGCAGATGGAGAAGCCTGAGGCCAGGAAGCAGCATACATACCCTGGACCAATGGCCTTCTCAATAAATACCCTGCATTGCTTCGCTCTGGCTCCTGTGACAAATTGCCATAAACTTAAAACAACAGAAATGTATCCTCTCATGGTTTTAGTGGCCATTAGGTTGAAGTCTGTGCCTTTTTCTGTGGGGGTGCATAGGACAGTACATGCAGTGAAAGTGAGAGATAATGGACACAGACAAGGTCAAGCTGACAGCACTAAGCACTTTGGATGCGCATACTTGCTGAGAGGCCATGTCAGTGGGTCAGGGCCAGTGCTGACAAAACCCAGGCCTCACACTTGGAGACCCAGCCTTCTCAAGATCAAGGAGCAATCACTGCCTATTCCCTTACTCCCTGGCCTTGACGCCACCTCAAGCCCCATCCCTTCCCTCTTGAATAGATAGGTCCAGTGTGTTCAGGGAAGTGGGGGCAGCACATCCAGAATGCAGCTGCTGCTTTGAGATGAGCAGTCCCTGCCCCCATTGTGCTTACCCCCACAGGGAGAAAAGTCCCAAGTCATAAGCCATGCCATGTTCTACCCTAGGACTAAGGGCTCACCTTTAATTTAAAAAAGAAAGAAAGAAAAAACAGCCAGGAACAGCATGCCGCTAGTGTGGAACTCAGTCTTGCGAAGATTGGCCTCCAGGGTGATCACAGGATGTCCAATGCTCTGCCTCAGCAAGCCCAAACACTGGCTGAGCCCCAGTTGGACCTTAGCTGGACCCCCACCTTGACTGTACTGAGAAGGAGGCTGGGAAGCAGCTCTAAGAAGAGCACCCTGCAGAGCTGGCCATGGGGGCCAGTGGGCAGAGACCTCAGCCTCTCCTACAATCAGTGGATCATAGGCTCTATGGAAAGGCCACTGTAAAGCTGGGTGCCAGTGGGTCACACCTGTTATCCTAGCTACTCAGGAGGCTGAGATCTGAAGATCTCAGTCTAAAGCCAGCCTGGATTAGAAAGCCTATGAGACTCTTATCTCTAATTAAGCATCAAAAAAAGGCTGGAAATGGAGCTGTGATTCAAGTGGTAGAGTGCTAGCCTTGAGCACAAAAGCTCAAGGATAATACTCCAGACTGAGTTTAAGCCCCAAGGACTGATAGAAGGAAAAGAATAAGGAAGAGGAGGAGGAGGGGGAGAAGAAGAGGAAAAGGAAGAGGAAGAAGAAGAGGAGGAAGATGAGAGGAAGAGGAAAAGGGAGAGGAGGAAGAGGAAGAAAAGCCCCTGCAGGAATCAAATGTCAGTCTCTCTGGTCTCTTCTTCTCAAGGCTAGAGCCTACTACCCTGGCAGCTCCAGGACCAACAAAGAGCTCTGTTCTGGGGACTCCAAATGTCCCCTTGTGCCCAGTAATGAGCTGAGCACCACTGCCTGCAGATTTCAGTCCGACATTGATTTTTGCCACCAGCAGGCCAGCCTACGGATTGGTATGCAAGCTGGTTTGCAGGAAGCCTCATATGGAGTATCCCCCAGGATAGGGTAGGATGGGGGCCTCACAAGAAAACAGGCTGCTGGTATGATCAGTGGAGGAAGGAAATTCCTGACAGCCCAGGCAAGCAGCTTCCTGAACCAGAAGGCTCCTGGTGTGGAAACTCCACCACCGCACACCAGCCAGGCTTCTTGTGGTCCAAGCACGGCCAGCCTCTGCCGCCCTGGACCACCCTGACCTCAGGGTCACCTACTGGTGCCCAGACATTGCTGAGACCCCCCCCCCAAGGCAAGGAACTTCCCACAGTGTGCTTTCACGGGGTGCCCACCACAAGCGGGAAATAGGGAAGAAAATAGCGACAAATGGGAGGACAGAGCAGAGCTAGCTAGCCAGCCACCCATGCATTAGCCTGGCTGGCAACAGCAAGCCTCCATAGACCATGCCAGGCTCACCGGCTGATGGTACTGGGTGTACTTACTCACCACATTCCAGAAGAGTGGGTTGAAAGCAATGGTGAGCACAGCGGCCATAAAGCTGGGATCCGAGGGGTCTACGTAGCCAAGCAGCCGGGTCATAACGCAGAGGTCTGCCTGCGGGGGACAGAGCAGAGTCAGGAGGAGACTCATCCAGCACGGCCCCAACTGCCAGGACTGGGGGAGCCCCCAGAACTCAGAGATCAATCTGCCCTCTGGGAACACGCCAGGAGGCTCAGGAACATCCAAGTCTCATAAAAGGAAAAGATTTAAAAAGAAAAAAAGCTGAAAACTGGTCAGCTGTGTCACGCCCTGGTAGGAGGGCAGCCGCAGAGGTGTGCATGGCGCTGGACAAGGCCAGTGACTCTGAAGATGGAAACCTGGAACTCTCAAAGGGAAGTGACACCAAAGCCGAATGTGACTGGGGTGCTCCAGCATGAGGGGGCCTCAGAAACTGCCACATAAGTCAAAATGCCCAGCCTCACAAGGGAACAGTGAAAGCAAATATGCTCAACCATGAGGACTGTTGCAGGGTGGTGGGCAGGGTTGATCAGCCCAGATGTGTCCCTCCACCTGTAATATCACACAGTGAAAGGAGCTCATGTAAGAGCGCTACTGCCAGCCAGTGCCAAAATGGTCAGTAACAATTAGACAACTCAGGAGGAGGGTCTGGGGGTGTGGCCCCATGGTACCATGCTTGTGGAGCACGTGTGAGGCCCTGGGTCCCATACCCATTGGGGAAAAAAAAATCTGGAAGAATAGAGAACCCAAATGAATCCCATATCAAATAGCTAAAGCCATAGAAGTTAAAGGCTAAGTGGCGCTGGGGTTCAAAGCTGTAGAGCACTAGCCTTGAGCAGAAGAGATCAGGGACAGTGCCCAGGCCCTGAGTTCAAACCCCACAACTGTCAAAAAAAAAAAGCAGGAATCTTTTTGTTGGGCACTGGTGGCTCATGCCTGTAATCCTGGCTACTCAGGAGGCTGAGATCTGAGGATCACAGTTCGAAGCCAGCCAGGTAGAAAAGTCCCCATTGGGAAGGAAGTTCATTGGAAGGTGGCTCAGTGGTAGAATGCTTGTCTCACATGCATTAGGCCCTGGATTCGATTCCTCAATACCACATAAACAGAAAAAAGCTGGAAGTGGCACTGTGGCTCAAGTGGTAGAGCGTTAGCCTTAAGCTGAAGAGCTGAGGGACAGCATTCAGGCCCAGAGTTCAAGCCTCATAACCAGAAAAGAAAGAAAGAAAGAAAGAAAGAAAGAAAGAAAGAAAGAAAGAAAGAAAGAAAGAAAGAAAGAAAGAAAGAAAGAAAGGAAGGAAGGAAGGAAGGAAAGGAAGGAAGGAAAGGAAGGAAGGAAGGAAAGAGCGAGAGAAAGAAAGAAAAGCCCCCATTAGACTCTTATCTCCAATTAACCATTGAAAAACTGCTAGTAGAGCTGTGGCTCAAAGTGGTAGCAGGGGGCTGGGAAGGTGGCTCAATGGTAGAGTGCTTGCCTTGCATGCCTGAGGCCCTGGGTTTGATTCCTCAGCACCACATAAGCAAAAAGAAAAAAGCCGGAAGTGGCACTGTGGCTCAAGCGGTAGAGTGCTAGCCTTGAGCTGAAGAGCTGAGGGACAGCGCCCAGGCCGAGTTCAGGCCCCACGACCGGACCCAAAAATTAAAAAAAAAAAAAAATCAAAGTGGTAGCAGGGACAGTGCCCAGGCCCTGAATTCAAGCCCCATTACTGAAAAAAACAACTGTGTGACAAGTCATGTGACAACAAGCTGTACTCAGTTGATATTTGGGCTATATCAGTCCATTGTGGCCTGGGCTATGCATTCTAGCACAGTTGGAAGCTCATGCATGTGCACACACACACACACACACACAGCCTCCATATACACACAGGTGACAGCAGCAACACCCTGGTGTGGCATCCAAAACTGTCTCCAGACATTTCCAGATGTTCCCTGGGAACAGCCCGCCCAGCTGAGCCCCTCTGCTCCAGAAGAGGGGACTGCAAGCCACTTTCAACAGTTGCTTCCTTTGTATAAAAAAGGGCACTGCTGCTGGGTGCTGATGGCTCACGCTTGTAGTGACCCTACCAGGAGGCTGAGATCGGAGGATCAAGGTTCAAAGCCAACCCAGGAAGAAAAGTCCATGAGACTAATGTTCAATTAACCAATATAAAAGTTGGATGTGGAGCTGTGGCTCAAGTGGTAGAAGCTGAGAGATAGCCCAAGGCCCTGATTTCAGAAGGGCACTGCTGACATTTTGGGCTTTAATGAGTCCTCAAATTCTTCCCTAAACTTTCCCTTACTTTGAAAGAGTCCAGAGGCCCCAAGCACTAAAAATACCATGGTGTCTCTCCAGATGTAACTCAAATGTCATCTAAATTGTAAGACAAGGGTCAAGGCATCAGCGGTGACCTTTTCTGTAAAATCAACTTTGGTGGTATGCTTTGTTCCATTTCATTTCAGGATACAGTAAATTCTTTCAAAGTGTTTTGCCTCTCATTTGGGGGAGGAGTAAGTAATCCCTGACCTATCTCCCCAGCTCACTCTTATCCTGGAGGGCAAGAAGCAATCTCCGCCCCAATCCTTGCTTCACTGAGTGAACACCTCCTGGAGGAACTCAGCCTGCCATCTAAACCAAATAGCCAAGTGTGACACAGGGGAATGGTCTGGAAAACCACTAGGCTCAAAAGGCATCAATACAAAGTTGCTTCCTACTGTGTCCTCCCCACCCAGCCAGCCTGCTCTGGGGATTTGAACTCAGGGCCTCACATTTGAGCCCCCTTTGCTTTCCATTCAGTGTTTTTCAGATAAGGAAGGGTTTTTGTTTGTTTGTTTGTTTAGGGTTTTTGGTCCAGGCCAGCCTCAAATCTTGAGCCTCTTTCTACCTGCCTAGTAGCTTGTATGATAGGTGTGTGCCATGATGCCCATCCTGCTTCACAAACCTTCATTTTGCTCTGGGGCCAAGGATAGAGCTACGTAGATGCTAAATGTTCAAATATGGTCATAACCCTCATCCACAGAGAACCATCCCAAAGTCTCCAGTAGGTGCTTAAAACTGCAGAGTACTGAACCCTGAATATACTATAGCTTTTCCTGTATACATAGGCCTATAATGACAACTGGGTATAAATCAGGTACAGTAAGAGGTTAACAAGTAACTAATCAAGTAGAACAATTTATACTGAAATAAGTTTACATAAAGATGTATTCTCACATACACACACACACACACACACACACACACACACACACACACACGGTACTGCACTCAGCCTCCTTCTTGCTGATCATGGCTGAGTCAAACCATGGAAAAACTGTAAAAGAGAGGACTGCCATCTAGGCACCCTCCCCCATTGAGAGCAGCGACAACAACAGACCAACGATATACTAGGAAGTGAGCAGGGGTGAACTGCAAGCTGTGCAGCATGTGGATGGCAATGAGCAAGCAAACCCACCTGGCCTTCTAACTCCCCTAGTCACAGCCCCTTGGAGGCCCCAGCAGATCAGAGCCCTGCAGGCTGCAGGAAGGCTTCTCCAGCTGCTTCTTGAGCACTGCCTTGGGCTGGGGGTAGAGGGCTATGAGCCACTCATAAAGGACAAAGCCACTGGAACAGACCTCAAAACCCGCTACCTTGCCCTCAAAAAAAAAAAAAAGGGAAGTTAGCTGTGTAGCTGCAATGCTTCTAGAACCTTCTATGTGATGATAACATTTATGAAGCTTCTGATTGCAAGGCCCTGTGCATTGACAGGCTGGAGATTGGGATGGGGACCGGGAGGGACAGTGCTATGGAGGAAGGACAGATGCAAGGAGGCTAGCCAGCTTGACACAGGAGGCCAGGTTTCGTGTGCCGCTTCCGGAGCGCGCTGAGGTGAGCTGCCTTCCTCCATGTGGATAGCACACCGTTGGCCAACAAGAAGTCCTCCCTCACCCCGACTCATTCCCATCTCATCCCTCAGTCAAATCCCAGCCTTGTTCTTTCTCCTGTCCAGTTCTACCTCCTACAGAACACACCTACTCTTTGACCAAGACTCCTCCCCACACAGTAAAGACTTCAATGGCCTCCTATCCTGTGACTCCCTGTTCTGGTCTTCAGGAGAGGCTCTAGGGGCCTCACCTGGCCCCCTTCATCTAGGCCTCCTTACCTACAAGGACATATTCACCTCAGCCGGCACTGGCGGACGGGCTCACACCTCCTCCCAGGGTGGACCATCACACCTGGCCAGTGTCTCATCTGCCACCCCAATCACGTACAGACACTTTCAGAAAGGCTTCTGTGCATGCATGAAATGCCTCCTGCCATTCTGCACTCCACTAAAGAACTCATATTTTCCCCTCAAAATCCAATTGGAGCTTTCCTCTCTTGCCCAATTTTATTTTATTTTTGGTCTGAGACAGACTCGAACTCAGTACTTAATGCTTTTGCTCACTGACTAGGGCCTGAAACCATTATTATTATTATTATTATTACTCCTATCTTATAATAGTTCCTCAGGCTAGGGACTATTTCTTTCCTGATCTTTGAATATCCAGTGCCCTCTTCTCTGGGCTGGCCCAAAGAGTAAATATTAGCTAAGTGAAACGTGGCTATCATTTCATCATCAGTTTGACTCCAGGGCTAGCAGTCTCTCTAAGGGTCTCTCAGCTAAGCTGCCCTGTGGCCTCCTCCAGCCTGCCTTGGGAAGGAGGTAAGAAACTGCCAAAGCAGCCCCTGTGGGGATTCTGCAAGTAGCCAAACAGCTGGACACCAGCCATCACAAACAGGTCCCTCTGGACACAAGGGCATGGCCTCCTGTGAGACCTCCAGCCAGCCTGATGCTGGATTTCATAAATATTCATTTCTGTGGTCCTGGGGGGCGGGGAGGGAGGGCTGACAAGTGAAGCAATGCTTTCCAAGCATTGGCAGGGGTGGATGGCCTGACTAGGAGTAGGGGAAGGGCTTCCCACAGCAACCTGAAGTTCCTGGGTAGGGCCTGTCTGCCCCTAAGTGTGCAGCTAGGTGGCAGATAAATGGAAAGAGAGGCATGAGAGACACAGAGACACAGCTAGAACTACAGTCCTGAGGGCCTGGGTTGGCCTCCAATCCCATTGCCCACCCCCATCCCTGACTCTACTCCTCATC